AAGCTAGAGGAACAAAGAAAGCTAATGAAACGAAATCGCTATTTAGTGAAGTCCCGCAAATCCACCAGCATTCAAAGCCCTTTCAAAGCCCTGAAGTTAAAGATAAGCTTCCCATCGAATAATATTGAGTTGCCCAAAAGAGATGAACTTCCCAAAATATCCATAAGTTAAGTAGAAGTGACTCTATGTGACAACCAGCTTTTTAGCCTTGAGACGAGCACTTCGTCGAGGTAGTAATCTAGAGCTGGCTGAATCCCATTCAGTGTCAGCAACTCGGTCTAGTATCTCACACGATCAGAAAGTAACCAGTGAATAGGTGTAACTTCAATATCCTTTCCACCTGAAGCATTAGATTCCAAAACTTCATTAGAAACCAATCCATTCGCTAGTAGAGGTGCATTACCATGAGGCGAAAAATAAACTCGAAGAGGAGTAGTTTCAAGGATATCTTCAATAACTCCCTTATCATCGCGAACATTTTCAATGTTAACCCTTTACAATGTATTCAATATCTTCAATGACAGCCTCCTCAATAACCCCAACATCTTCCTCAACGATCACTCCCAAGAAATCCTTAACATTTTTGCCTTATATTTATATGTAAATTACACACATGCATAGATATACTTTGTATTATTTTATTTCCCAACTCTATAATATACTTCATACTAACTACATACACCATAACAAGTTTATACTATATCAAAAGTATAACATAAAAATATTTATTACATTTTTATATTATTTAGTTGAAAAGAATTTGTTTTAGTTTATTTTCACTTTTTATTTTAATTTACCGCAAATATAAACATTCTTTATTATATTATTAAACAAATATCTATATTTTTTACTATCGACTTTTATTTTATTTTTATATATTTTTTTAATTTTTAATTTTTTGAATGTATTATTTTATAGCAATTTTGACACTTTTTAACAGTTGAGAGGGTAAATTGAACATCTCAATTGGGTTCCAGAGCTTATTTGACCCCTTAAACTGCCACATCGGATTCACATCTGGCATCTGACATAGAATATTGTGTTGACTGGACTATTACCTGCAAAAGTGAAATATGAACTCTTTTTACGAATGCAGGATGTGAATTGGAGTTTTTTTTTACCTCATGAGGCGAATTGAGCATTTTGGAAGTGTACAGGGTCTATTCGACCCTTTACCCCTTTTTATATTATAAATAATTTTCAATAAAAGTATATAAATGGTCAAAGTTTTAAGGATGAGAAACGTTTTTGGGATGAGAGTAGTTTATATTATTCTCTACTCGTAAAAAAATTATTTTTTTTTTAAATTTGCAACGATACAAATTTAATTATATTTTTTTTTTAATTTTTTTTACTAATGCATCAATAAATATATCATAATCAAAGCTACTGTTGAGGTTTAGTCCCGTAGATCCGAAAGGCCAACACACGCTTTGGATATTTAAGGATCTTGGTCTTGGTGTAAGAAAGTGTATCAAATATACAAGAGGTAATTCCCTAAATGGGACTATATCAATGTTGAAATGCACAAATAGGACTCTCATAATCTATAGGACTAAAAATGAACGGATTAGACACAATTGTCCTTAATAAATTAAGGGTCAAATAAAAAAAATAAAACCCAGCTGTCCAGACACAATTCCCCATATACCTCATTGCTGTCGGTCACCTTCAGAGTTAAACTCAGCTGCCTATAGAGTTAAACTCGAAACCGTCGGTCACCTTCAGCGCCTTTAGTGCACGCCTAACACGGCCGCCGTTGTCGATACCACCACCGCAGGCACCGTCGAAATTGCCGCTGCACAATTCCAGTGAGGTGACTTACCCCGTCATCCAGCGAGAATGGTGTCACCGCTAAATCCTTTGTGGAGATGCTGCCATCTTCTTAATCACAGCTTCCCTGTGGAGTGTATAATTTCAATTTCAGGAAAAATTACAATTACGATAACAATAATGACAAAAAATTGGCATTTCTATATGCATAAATATGGAATTTTCACATTACAAATTATGGCATTTTCACATTTTGGAGTTGAAAATGTGAAATAGGAGAAGCAAAATGAAGTTGTGTTGCCGATGAATTGAATTCAATGCCATAAAAATGCCATAATTTGTGAAAATTCCAAAAATCTGGCATTTTCGAACTTGTAAAATTTCCATCTGCATAAACAAATGCCATAAATGTGGCAATTTTTACAAATTGATAAAGATACACAATCATAAATTTTAGATCTAAATTTTTTTGAACTGAGAGCCACAACTTTTAATTCCCAAAGGTTTCAAATTCCAAATATCCATTCAGAATCTAAAAAAAATCGAATAAAAGAGGAGCAGAAAATAGAGGAGAAGGAAGAAGATGATTAAGAAAAGAGGAGAAGGTAGAAGAAGGAAGAGAAGGAGAAGGGGGAGGAATTACCTGGAGACCGCTGGTCAGAGTAAGGTGTGCGGAAGAGGATCAGAGAGCGGGAGAGGAGCTGCCTTCAATCGATGCGGAATAGAAGATGACGATGTCGTTCGAATTGAGGTGTTGGGCTGAGGTTTTATTATACCGATATCGAATAGCAGGGGTATAATAGGAATAAAAAGTCCTATTTAGGTAAAATAAAGGATCAACTCCCATATAGGAGTTTTGATGATAATTCGGTCCTATCTAGAGGTAAAAACTCAATATACAACAGTGAATTTAATATCAAACTCAGAAGCTAATTGTATTACGTAATCATGTGATTACAATGAAACTGTCCGAACGGTAGGTCAGTGTGAGTTTGAATACAACACAAGAGATGATTCTATTGCTAAGCTCTGAGTATCAAAATGTTAACCCTTTACAATGTATTCAATGCAGGTATTTATACCAAGGAGAAATATATGAGATGGACACGTGGCCGAACCCAGTTGGCTATTGTCTTTGCCGCCTTTGTACCCATGCTCCCACTTGTTCATGTCATACTTTAGCATTAAATGCAGTTCCCACTTGCTAATCCCCCGGTCGGGTACCCCGTCTGGAGTGTGGGACCACTTTGCGGGTGTTTTGATGCCAGTTCTCTGTATGATTGTTTCAAGTGGACAAATATACCCGAATCCTCTTCGGGTATCCCTTGTTCGGAACGTCTTGGGCCTTTCCGATTGCGTTGAGCTTCCTGCTTGTCCTGAGCTTATTTTATACTTTGGGCCGGGCGTATTGGGCTTGGGCCCAATATCCCAACAGCTACATTGAACATGTGAATAGTGTAAAATTTAACAATTGAAGAAGTAATACTATGGTAATATTTTTACATAAAACGATTTACTACGGCAACACGGTTTACTTCCTTAAATCAATTTGTTTATTGGTCGAGAGAAAAGTTTTTGAAATTCTGAAAAAGGACTACATGTTTTTATCCCTAAATAGAAGCAATTTCTTCCAAGTTTGATATTATCAGGATTTAAACATGTCAGTTTCTGCCAATTTTTTTTCAAACTTGACTGAAATTACTTGTGTTTATGAAATAAAAATACGAAAGTCATATTTTGAAATTTGTCACTCCTATGAGTAATTTTCTAAAATCTTATTGATACAAAAGTAGATAAGAGTACTACGTACAATATATCCCTCTGTAACTTAAAAATCTTCCCATTTCAAAAGTAGGTAGATTAAGAATAGTGAAAGGTGATATGAATTATTGAGGGTATGATGAGAAGATAGTGGAATAATGTGATGGAATGTAGGATAAATCTAAAAAAAGTAGTTGTAATAGTGTATTACTTTTAGAATTATTGAGAGTATGATGAGAAGATTTAGAAATGAGAAGATTTTTTTTGTTACGGACGAAAAAGGAAAGTGAGAGTATTATTTATGAAGATTAAGGCCGTGTTTGGTAAATGGCGTTTCATCCGAAATTTGGCGGATTTGACCAAAATCAGCGTTTTTAATCGGTCAAAACGCTGAAGTTAGGTGTTTGACAAATGGCTTGTTACTATGGCGTTTTGATCCAACACGCCAAAAAATGAAACGCTGGGATTAGAAGCGTTTATGCTTAGCGGGTTTACAACAATAATTAGTTCTCATCCGTACCCTCCACCTTCTTCTGTATTCTGCGTACCAGACCTTCGCCTCTGAAGTATGAAGACCAGCCCAGCAGACCCTTCTTCCATATTCCGCGCAGACCTTCAATTTTCCCCTTCTTCCATAACAGATCGCCGGGTATGTAGTGCAGACCTTCGTTCCCAATATTCTGCAAAGCTGTTTGTGTGCCCGGCCAGTACATGCACTGATGCACCGTTTAAGGTAGAGGATCTTGAGTTCTTGATTGACAAATTAAAAGTGCCCAACGATATTTATGATCGTTTTTACATGCCAAATTGCTAAATCTGAAATCTGAATTGAAATAATCTAGACAACCTGGTGTGAGAGATGCCTTGAGAATGTTATGATGGAGCTCCTATTGGTTTTTAGCATTATCCGTTTCCTGCATCCCACTTAATTATCACTTTATTAATTTATATTCTTTGTACATATGTAATTTTCATAGTTTAAAATTTGAAGTTATGTTGTTAGAACATAGTTTTGGGTCGTAATTCTTTTGTTCTTATTATTAGTGTAGTGAATTTATGAATTTCAATTATTATATTTTTATTTCATTAGTTTTAAAATTATTAATTAGTTAACTCACATATATATTACGTAATAGTATACTTTTAATATCATACGTACTATTACATGCACAATAAAGTAGCAAATAATAAAATTTACTAATGTCCTTTTCTGTCTTTTTATTTATTAACCGCTAAAAACAAACAGCTATGTTACCAAACATCTTTGTGTAATCCGCCAAACTAATCCGCCGGTCAAATCTGCTGATTTAATCCGCTGTTTATAAACCGCTAACTTTATCCGCCAACCGCTAACCGCTGACCGCTGATTGCCAAACAAGCCCTAAGTTAAAATACGTACGTCATCCGTGACTTCAATTGATTTAACTTACTCTAATTTGGAAGGAGTTTAAATAATATGGAGCACTGAATTGAGCCAGTATCTTAGCTTCCTCATCCGATCCATTATTGCGTAGTGAAATTTCTAGCTTCCCGCGGAGCCATATCATGGCACCCAAATCTCCTCCATCGCTTCCCCTTTACGAAGTAAAATTCCCAAACAGTAAAATCTCGAGAACAGTAGAACTCATCATTCTGTGCCTTCTCCTATCACTCATCAGCTATAGATTACTTTCTCTCAGCAGCCATGACTACTCCCTCCCTTGGCTTCTTGCGCTCGTTTGCGAGTCTTGGTTCGCTTTCAATTGGATTCTCACCATCAACATTAAGTGGAATTATGTTGAAACCAAAACTTACCCAGAACGCCTCTTGCAAAGGTATGTGCATCTTTAGTTAGTTGATAAGTACGGAGTATATATTAACTTTGTTTTAGTTTAAATTTCTCATACTACCTCCACAAATATGTTCACATTTCAAAAGCAGGTAGATTAAAAATAGCGAAAAAAAATATGAATTATTGAGTTTATGATAGGAAGATAGTGAAATAATGTGATGTAGTAAAGGGTAAATAGTTGTAATAGTGTATTATTTTTAAAATTATTGAGGATATGATGAGAAAAATTAGAAATTGGAAGATATGAATGCTATGACCAAAAAAAGAAAAGTGAGAAGATATGAATTTTATTTTCGTTAATAATGGTTGATTTTTAGGGCGAGTCAATAATGCATAACATTGAAGGATAATATATTTGTATGGAGTATATGATTAAATTATGGGATATTTTGACTTTGCACCCTGCTTTTTGAATGATATTGGACTTTGCACCCTATTTTTTCTAAAATGTCTTTGCCTTTGCACCCCCATTCAAGATTTTTTCTTCACAAAATGTTGTAGATAGGGTGCAAAGTCTAAAAAATTTGAAAATGGGGTGCAAAGTCCAATATCACCCAAAAAGTGAGATGCAAATTCAAATTTTCCCTTAAACTATTTGTAATATGGAAATTATATAAAGAGGGTCTTGGAAAGGGTCCCACCTGGAATGTAACAAAAAGGCAATGACACAGGCAAATCATATCGTACCGCCGGGGTGCTCGCCATACAATCCGGTCTTTTAAATCATATACTCATTTCTTTTAACATAAATTATCTGGTTGTAGGATGTGCGCTCTCCAATGAGACAATATAAAATCATATTTGAATGAATTTTACGTGAAATGTTTTATACAACTAATTAAAACACTTCTTAAATTTGGAGTGAATTTACCTTCAAGTTGGTCCTTCCTAAGGATGTTTTCTTTTGGACTGTTTTCAGTCCCTGACCAGATCAGACCAGACTTAAACAGACCAGATCAGACCAGACTTAAACAGATCAGACCATAGCAGACTTAAACAGACCAGATCAGACCAGACCAAACTTACATAATTATAAAATACACAGAGACCAGACGTTTACCAGATCAAACCAGACCCGACTTAAACAGACCAGACCAGACCAACAAATTTCAGTGCAAAAGAAAACATACTACTCCCTCCGTCCCAGAATTAACTTCGGTTTTGATTGGGTGCGGGGATTAGGATAGTAGGAAATATGTGGTGGAGAGTTGTGCATAGGAGAGAGAAATGTATAAGAATGATTGTGAACCACAAATTCTTTGCCAAAAGGGAAAGAGGAGATAAATTTGAGACGAACCGAAAAGAATGAACATAATTTCGGGAGTGAAGAAGTAATTCAAAGTTGGTCCCAAAATTTGACAAGATGTAAGTCTCAAAATTTAGGGCATGTTTGGCACAACTAGCTGAAAAGATATTTTTGTGAGCTTTTTAATAGCTGTTAGCTTTTAGTGACTGAAAAGATCTTAAAAATATAAGGTGGTAGCTGTTTGATGAAAAGCTGACTGTTTTAGTTCGGTTTGATATACAAGCTGTTAGGATTAATTAATACTTCCTCCGTTCCTTTTTAATTGCAACAGTCAACATTTCACGTTTGCCAATGCACAAGTTTGACCATTAATATCTTTCATTCCGTATTAGTAAAAAATTTAAAAAATTCATATTTTGAAAATTTAGAATGAGAAGAATTTAACAATATTTTTTAAAAATTTAATTTATAATACATCAATTAATAAAATGTAGTCAAAGTAGAGTATGTGAATAGTGCAAAAAGTCCAACGTTGCAACTAAAAGAGAACGGAGGTAGTACAAGATCTTTTAATTTTTGAAAAGTTCTTAAATATTGTCATGTCAAACACTCAACTAGAAGCTTTTAGGATTTTTTTGAACAGTACAAAAGCTAGAAGTCATGGACTTATGCTCGCCAAACATAGCGTTAAAGTAGTGAAACTTCGGTCACACAGTAACAAGATAATATCCCTTACTTATCATCGGTCAAAACGGCGATAATTTAAATGGGGCTAGATTACTATTGGAGTAAAGTCAGTAATTAGTTTAATCTGCGTGTGAGACAACGTGACCGATTGATGGTTTTATAAAAGGCTGGAAGATAAGACGCTAGCGGAGTTTCCGGCGGTGGACATGTTCGTTACGACGGCTGATCCAGAGCTGGAACCGCCGATCATAACGGTGAACACGGTGCTGTCTTTATTGGCGGTGGACTATCCGGCGAACAAGCTGGCGTGTTATGTGTCGGACGACGGTGCATCGCCGTTGACCTTCTTTTCTCTGGTGGAAGCATCCAAGTTTGCTCAGATTTGGGTTCCCTTTTGTAAGAAGTTTGACGTTGCCGTTAGAGCTCCGTTTCGATATTTTCACGCCAACCCTGCATGCCCACATGATCGCTCCTTGGAATTCCAACACGAATGGAACAAAATCAAGGTAAATATATGTGTTTATATATATATTGCATAATACTAGTACTAATACTAATATAATATACTCCGATCCATATACTGCATACTACGTATTATAATATGCAAAGATAAATCGTTATCCTTGTACAATTATATATGAAACGTTGGTCGTTTACTGTCTATCTCCTTACATACAGTATGATTTTTTATAAATTGATCAACTTTTTCAGTTATCAATCAAATTCTAATGCAATAGAGTGGAACAATATTTGAACTCGATTAGTAAAGACCATGACCAATTTAAAAAAAAATACTCAAAATATTTTATGCCACTCACAATTATGGTGTGGCCTCACTATTTTTATCTAAGAAGTTGTCCTAATATGACTGTTATATTTTTATTTTCTAAATAGAAATAAAATTTTGATATTACCAAACTTTAGACATGTCAATTTTTTCCTAACTTGATATTAATTACTCAATCGACTCTATCCAAGAATTCCAAAACATTTATTCTTATTTTAGAAATTGTTTCTTATTATATGTTCAAAGGGGTATAGTTTGTCTTGATACTAGTACTAGAAAGAGTCATTCATTGTTCATCTATTAATTTACGAAAAATATTGATGATCGATTCAATATTAGTATTTCTAATATTTAAATACTACCCACTACGTATATAATTCCACCATTTCAAAATAAAAGTGACACTTTTCGATACATAAATCTATACCAATACAATATAAAATATGACAATAAACAAATCTATACCAATACAATACAAAATATGACAATAATGCAAAATGTTGTCAAACAGTATAAAAACAATGTACTTTATGATAAATTTAGGGAATTATCAATTTGGGTCCCGTACTTTCATGAAAAATCAATTAGGTTCTCATACTTTTAAAAAGATCAATCAAGACACCGAATTGAACTTTGTAAAAACGTTCACTTGAGTACATTTGCAGGTTACTTGTCATGTCAGCAGGTCACCCGCTGACATGGTGCACATGTGGCAGCCCAATCATCAATAATTTTTGTTGATGTGGCGCACATGTGGAAGTCTAGTCAGCCATTTGTTGATGACGTGGCTCCACGTAGACCACCATGTGTACTCAATTGAACATTTTTACAAAGTTTGAGGACTTGATTGATCTTTTTAAAAGTACGAGAACGTAATTGACTTTTTCATTAAAGTACGAGAACCAAATTGACAGTTTTTCCTAACATTTATCTCTCAATAAATTTATTTCCTTAATATTTGTGAAATCAACTTTTGACTTTCATTTTGAATTAGAGTATTATTACTAAGGAAAACACATTTCTTTATTTTAGGATGATTATTTAAAGCTGTGCGCGAAGATAGAAGATGCGAGTAAGGAATCTATGGCATTTGGCCTTACCGCTCAATTTTCCGTTTTTTCAAAGATTAAACGAAGAGACCACTCTTCCATCGTAAAGGTAAAGTTTAAATTGCTTCAGCTAGCTTAGTTATTCCTTTTTCATTTCAAATTTTGATATCATATACTGTATGTACTAGACCCTTGTATATTTGTAAGCGTGAAATAGTTTATACGAAGTGTACAACTAACAACGTGTACTATCGCAAATTAAATCTAAAAGAAACTAGGCTAAAGGGTCAAATAGGTACACTAATTAACCTTAAAGTGTTCAATTAGACCCTTATATAGGAGGTTCTGCCTGGCCGTCGTCAATTGGGGCGGTTCCCGGTTGAATTTTTTGATGAAAACTTTTAAGCATCTTCTTCATTAAGTCTAGTTTACCCATATCAAATTTCAACTAAAAATTAAATCGGAAAGGCACTCAAATGATTTTCCGAAATGTACTGCGTTGTTTAACTGAGGAGTTATCTTCAAAAAATCATTTGACTACCTTCCCGGTTGAATTTTTAGTTGAAATTTGGTATGGGCAAACTAGACTTAACGAAAAAGATGTTCAAAAAAATTTCATCAAAAAATTCCACCGGTACCCGCCCCAATTGGCGACAGCCGGGCAGAATTTCCTATATAAGGGGCTAATTGAACACTTTAAGTTAGTTCATGTACCTATTTGACCCTTTAGCCAAGAAACTAAAACGCTACCTCCCTCCTTTTTTATTTAATCATTTTTTACTTTTTCAATCAAAGATGGTAAAATTTGACCAATTATTTGAACTACTATATTAATGTGAAATTTCATTATTTTACATTTTTATGGTATATTTTTTGACAAAAAATATTTTGATATTATTTTCATATTATCAATAGTTATGTGTAAATATATAATTCGTCAAAAATGAACTCCATTAATTTGAAAAGTTAAATTTAGCTAAATAAAAAAGGACAGAGAGAGTATATCACAACTCGTGGCAAGAATATCACATTTTTATTTGTTACATTTATATAGAATTACACGGGAGTACTAAATTTTATATAATTTTAATATTAGAATGGATACGAAAAAATTTTAAAAAAATAAGAAATTAAGGTAGTGTTTGCTAAAACTTGAAAAAAAATGATTTTCAACTTTTGACTTAAAAAGGATGAAAAGAGTGTTTTCAAATGACAATTCTGTTTAGATTAAGTACTTAAAAACCAAAAGTTGAAAGCAAGTAGAAAGATGATTTAAATTGTTTTTCACTTTTTATTACACAAAAAGCACTCTTTTGACCAAACATTATCAACTTTTACTTTTTCACAATCACTTTTTTCTCAAACACTACCAATTTTTATTATTAAATACTTTCTCCAAAATCACTTTAAAAAATCATGGTTTTGATATAGAAGCAATCTCAAACACTTCTCAAAACTAGACGATATTGAATTGTCAAACCAATAGTCAATGATATGTGGTAAATTTTTTAGAATGGTTGAAAAAGAGGCACTATATCCGTTCCGTGTTAGGTATCTACAATTATTAATTATGTGATTGAAAATTTTAAAAAAAATATAGTTGAAATTTGAATATAAATAAGTGAAATTTTGTAGATCACATATTTATTTTCAAAAATGAAATGTGACAATTATTTTTAGATAATCCAAAAAAGAAACTAAGACATACAGTGTTCTAAAAGGCGCTAGGCGCTAGTCGGGCGGTGACTGGCCGCCTAGCGCCTAGCCCACCTAGGCGGGCGCCTAGGCGCCGACTAGGACGCCTATGTATTTTCCTTTATTTCTTTGTTTTTTTTATTTTCATTGAAATTTAAATTTATTATCAATAATTTATATATTATTTTGAAAATAGAAATAGCTCATATAATCATTAGATATTATGGTTTATGTATAAAAATTATAAATAATAAAATAATTAATAGATAAATGTAGAGATTTATATATTTTTAGTCTCTAAAAATGTATATATACACTCTAAAAAGTTATAAATATGTCAAAATTATTTTTTGTCGTAGTAATATGAAGCTAAACTATATAGAAATAGAATTCTTATTGATCAAACGTGGTTTTAAGTCAAAACAGGAAAAAAAGTTGAATCGGGGAAAAAATTAATCCGAACCGCCTAGCCACCGCCTAGCCCGCCCAGGAGCCCGCCTAGCCGCCTAGGCGGCCGCCTAGCCCGCCTAGACGTCCGACCATTTTTTTCGACCGATTACACCAAAATCGGGGCGCCCGGCCACCGCCTAGTCATGACTAGGCGGCGCCTAGCCCGATTTGTAGATCCATGAAGACATATAATGAAACATGAGAGTATTATGTTGAAAGAGGTAAGAATGTAAGATGCAATATTATATTGTTCGCTATAACAGGATTTGACATAGTATATCAAGAAAAAGTAGAAATATTCAATTATATAGAAAAAGTACTCTATCGTATTCTAAAGTTTGCTACACTTTCTCTTTTGCAAGTATTTAAAAGTTTGTTACATTTTCCCTTTTTGGTAAGTTTTTTCTTTTAAAAATACCCAACTACCCTTACTTTTTCTATTTTTTATCTTCTCTTTCATACTTTTTCACCTTCTTTTTCCTACTTTTTCTACATTATTCATTACCCCTACTATTTCCTCCTTAAATATTGTGCCAAAGCCTATTGTAGTGATCTTTACCACATACGGAGGGCGTAGAAAAGATGGTGAATGATATGGAAGAGAAGATGTAAAAGTAAAACACTTAGAACATGTTACTCCCTGTCTCCCTCTGTCCCTAATCTTTCTCCCATTTCGGTTAGGCACGTTATTTAAGAAAGTGGGTTTTGTGTGGTGAAGAGTTGTGCAGAGGAGAGAGAAATGTGTAAGAATGTGTAAGAATAGTTGTGAACCACAAATTCTTTGTCAAAAAGGGAAAGAGGAAATAATTTTGGGACGGACGAAAAAGGAAAGTTTGAAGATAATTCAGGGACGGAAGGAGTAGTAAACAATGCTATAAAAACGTGTTTACCTAACATTTAAAAGTGACAAATTTTTACTAAATTGGTAACCACAACATGTGGTCATAAAGGACAACGATTTGTTAGTAAATTCCAGGTCATTTGGGAAAACAAGGGGACTATTCCGGAAGAAGATGCGGTTCCTCATCTAATCTACGTCTCTAGAGAAAAGCGTCCAAAAATTCATCATCATCACAAAGCAGGAGCCATGAATGTTCTGGTAATACTCCGTCGTATTTTTTTTGTTAAATCAATATATTATCAGCATAGCTGTGCTTGTTTTTGATATATTTGCTGGATTTTCTCAATGCATATTCTAAACTTAATAATTTATGTTTTTGTAGTAATTTTCTCAATGCAAATTTTAAACTTAATAATTTGTGTTTGTTTTAGTACTTTTCTCAATGCAAATTTTAACCTGAAGTTACTTTGACACTACATTATACGTAGTAGTAACTAACAGTCATATTTTTGTAAATATGCTTTACTTGTATTTTAGTACGGAGTAATATTTTTGAAAATATTCTTTTTTTAATATAAAATAATGAAAAAATTCTACGGAAAATAACAAAAATAGTCTTCTATAATACAAGTTAATTACTTTAGCCAATTTAGTATAAGAGTGATAAGCCCAAAGCACTTATCATTATAAGTCAAAAAAGGTGATTTTTTTTATCCGGTATGATCTTGACTTGTTTGAATTGGAATGGTCTAATCTCCAACTCTCCATCTATCAAAGTCTAATTTGGTTGGCTGTGATTTGGTAGATAAAAATTGGTGGAAACATTCGTTTTTTTAAAATACATTCGTTTTCTATTTGATCATCAATAATTCAATATACCGGTGGACGTAACTCAACTGGTAGCGATGAAGTGCCTCAAGGGTTAAGTCTCAAGTTCGACTCTCACAACTGCAATGAGAGGTTACTCAATAGTGGCCTCTGAAAGTACCGGGAATGTAACTCACTCTCTATCTGTGAGATTGTGATTATAGTTTAATTTACATCCTGTAATCGTGCCGTCCGGTCGGTGTTGGGGGGCCACAGGATGGAATGTCCTTTTTTTACTCCCTCCGTCCCAAAATGGTTGGCCAAATTTCCTTTTTTGGCCGTCCCAAAATGGTTGATCATTTCCATTTAAAGTAAGGAATATGTGGCTAAAGTTAATTATCTCCCCTCTGCACAAATTTCAACATTGGCCAACCATTTTGGGACGGAGAGTATATCAATAATTCAATATCATAACAAAGTGGAATGTAACAGACTAGAGCATCAGGGGTGATGACAAATGCACCATTTATGTTGAACGTGGACTGTGACTGCTTTGCAAATGACCCAAAAGTGGTACTCCATGCCATGTGCTTTCTGCTCGGGGCAGAGGATGAAAAAGATGCTGGCTTTGTTCAATTTCCGCAGAGCTTCTACAGTTCATTGGAGGATGACCCGTACGGAAACCAATTCAAAATCACTATGAGAGTAAGACCCTCTCTCTCATAATGCAATTACGGACGGACATGTAATTCTACTTTATTCTTATCTTATTACTCCATTCGTTCCAAAATGGTAGTCCGTTATTTTCTTTTTGGGATGTCTCAAAATGATGATCTTGTTTTCCTTTTTGATAAAGAATTAAAAGTGGATTATCATTTATACCCCGGGAAAACTGTCAAATAGGTCCTCGAACTTTCATAAAAAGGTCAATTAAGTCCTTCTATAGGAGGTTCTGTCCGGCCGTCGCGATTTGGGGCAGTTCCCGGTGGAATTTTTTAATGAAATTGTTTGAGCATCTTATTCACCAAGTCCAGTTTACTCATACCAAATTTCAGCTAAAACTTCAATCGGGAACACATTCAAATTAATTCTTGAAGATAACTGCGCATTTTTGCGTTCTCGAATTAATTTGAATGTGCTCCCGATTAAATTTTTAGCTGAAATTTGGTATGAGTAAACTAGAATTGATGAATAAGATGCTCAAAAAATTTCATCAAAAAATTCCACCGGGAACCGCCCCAAATCGCGACGACCGGACAGAGTCTCCTATAGAAGGACTTAATTGATTTTTTTATGAAAGTTCGAGGACCTATTTGACAGTTTTCCCTTTATATCCCTACTTTTAAATGAATAGTAAAAAGAAAAGGATGAACAATAAATAAAGTAAAGTTCTTTAGTCTTTCTATCGCACTTTCTTAATCTTTGTGCCCAAAAGAAGCAGAACCATCAAATTGGGACGGAGAGAGTATTATTTTATCAATTCAATACTCCTTTCGTCCCATAAAATTCTTCCCACTTTCCTTTTTGGGCCGTCCCAAAAAATTCTTCACACTTACCATTTTTCGATAATTTTTGTGGTTCACAGTCATTTCATCTTTTTTCTTACACAACAACAATCATACATTTCCACTTTATTCCATTTTATTAATCTTCGTGTCAAGTCAAACTGAAAAGAATTTTCTGAAACAGAGGGAGTATTAAATACATCAATTCATTTTTCTCAATAATCACACATCATCTAAAAGTTAACTTTATTTTTTTTATGCAATAGAGAGTGTGTACAACAAATAAAAAAAACTAGATATAAACCTAAGGGTAAACTTTTGTTTTTGAAAGTAAAAACCGTTTATATTAATACCATCATGATTCAAATCATTACAACAAATTCAAAGAGACCAACACTGACAGCAACTATTTGTAACCAACTAGCACTATCAAACCTGAAAGACCAACAAAGGTAAAACTGTTATGTACACTTCTACTTCACCTGTGTACATAACTAACATAAACATCTCATTTTGGAAAAGTATGTAAACCAATGAGTATACAAAAAAATGTACTTCCCCGTCTCTAAAAACATCACACCTTTTTAAACAAAACAGTGTCAAACAATATCAAACAGTTTCAAAAAAGTGTCTATTTCAAAACAGTGTCTATTTCTTAAACGAAGAGACACTTTTAAATAGGGATGGAGGGGGTATACTCCATTTTTTTTTTGCGGCGGGAACCTTTGTAGAACAAAGGTACACGCTAGCACTTCAAAGTACAAATGTAGCCGACTTTAGGTTCTTCGGAAGAGGGGTGGAAATACGGAATGGTAGGAAGAGGATGTCGGCTTCCACCTATTTTTCCTGGTGCATATTATCTACAACCTGGAGTCCTAATAATATTCCACCTGGTGCATATTTGTGTAAGTTTTGGTCTTACATTGAATAATTTGTACTGTTTCAATATCTTGTTGAATTAGAAACATCCTTACAATCACGTTCCCTTTTTTACCTTTAAAATGTTTTAAGTAGAATGTATTATTTCCGAAACCAATCTTGTTATATTTTATAATCAAAATGCCAAAAATATTGTTTTTAAATGATTATAAATACTACTTGCACTTAACAATTTTCTGCATAGAACTCTATTGGTAACATTAGTATTGATTGAATCTGCTAAATTTAATAAAGTTCTGGCTGAATCGACTAAATTTGGTATGTTCTGAAAAACAATACATCGAAAATATATTGTATTAATAAAATAAATAAAAAATAAATAAATATAGGTAATGGTGTTGTTCAGCAATTGTAGGCAGCCAAATATTCATAAACTACTTTAGTTATTTTGATTATTATAATTTGTTCAACTTTTTTTTTATCATCAAAACAACAATATATTAATTCAATAAATCGTTCGCCAGATGGCTAGAGATACAACCCGGGATAACATCATAATCAACAATATGATCTGAGATGGTAACATGTGATCGTGCCATAGCATGAGTCACATGATTCGCAGACCTTCTACAAAAAGAGATATCAAAGTTACTCTTTGTTTTCAGCATCCTCCTAATATCATCAATTATCAAATGAATATAAGCTGCCCCTTCCGTCTTCGTCTTCACGCTCTGAACCACACTGAGAGAATCTGTCACTACTTCCACCTTCTGCCATCCTGCCGCAATGGCTCCTACAAGCGCATCTCTCACCCCCATAGCTTCTGTTTTTTCTGCTAACCAATCTGCTTTCGTAGAGAAGCCCCGAGCCTGAATAAATCTTCCTTCCTCATCTCTTACAACCCATCCCCACGCCTGAACTCCCCCACCTTGGTTAACTGCCCCATCCACATTTATTTTCAAAAATCCCGGTTTTGGTTTTTTCCATTTTCCTTCATCCACTCTGTTCGGCCCCTGTACTGCACGCGTTCCAGCAGATATTTGACCATCACTCCATGCCTTCATCATTCCTGCTGCCATACGAAGAACTCCAGCAGCCTCCATATTTTCTCCTTTCCAAACCACACCATTCCGCCGCTTCCAAATGCTCCAAATAAGAGCTATAAAGTTGCTGCCCTCTTTGTTTGGCGCTGTCTCCACCTTTTTGCGGAACCAGTCTTCAAAAGACCCCTGCTGCAACTCGGTGGAAACCCCAGCAGCCTGCCAGACCTGTTCAACTTTTGGACATGATCTGATGGCATGATCGATGTCTTCTTCCGGTTGTCCACATAACTTACATCCTCCGACAATAGCAATTCCCCTCCTCTTAAGCCTATCAACTGTTGGTAACGATCCATCAAGCACCTGCCAGGCTAAATATTTGAACTTTGGAGGAGTCTGTAACTCCCATAGCTTACCCCAGCCGCTCCATCCTGTCGTTGTTTGCTCACCCATAAGCAACCTGTAACAACTTTTAACAGAAAAAATTCCATTTCGTTCACCAATCCACCAATACCCATCTTCCCTATCAGTAAAACTAATAGGTATACTCAGAATTTTGCTCCTATCCTCCTGATTAAACCAGTTATTTATTCTCTCTAAATTCCACTGTTTCCCCGTTGCGTCCCGCAAAGCAGCAACATTCATGTCACTAATCCATGCTGGCTTAGCAGAAGTAACTCTTCCAGTGTTCCCCGGTAACCAGGCATCCGCCCAAACCTGGATATCAATTCCATTCCCCACTCTTCTCCTGACATTATTTTTTAATATTTCTTGGGTTTCAAAAATACTATGCCAAATAAAAGACGGATTACACCCCAACTTGGCATTCAGGAAATCAGAAGAAGGAAAATACCTGGCCTTTAAAACTCGGCTCATCAGAGTTCCTGGTTCAGTAATGAGCCTCCATCCCTGTTTGGCTAGCATAGCACTATTGAACTCCCTTATCCTCCTGAAACCCAACCCCCCCCCCCCCCCCCCCCCCCCGCCTCTTTTGGCTTACAAAGAGCTTCCCACCTTCTCCATCTTAACCCTTTTTTATCAAACTTTGATCCCTTCCACCAAAACCCGTTCATAAGTTTTTCAATGTCATCACAAAGATCCTTTGGCAAAAGAAAAACATTCATAGCATAATTCGGCAACGTCTGAATAACATTGCGGAGTAAAACCGCACGCCCGGCACGAGATAGGAATCGGTTCTTCCAATTTTTTATTCTACTGAAAATGCGCTCCCGCAAATAACCCAAAATCGCCGATTTATTTTTCCCTACCAGTGCGGGTAAACCCAAGTAAAAATTCTGCCCCCCCCCTCCCTCGGCACTCCCAGCTGCTGGCTGCAAAATTCTCGAAACTGTTCGCCAACATTCTGACTGAAAGTTAACGAAGATTTGTTAAAATTTACCATCTGCCCTGACATTTGTTCATATTGCTGCAAAATCTTCTTAATAACTGCACATTCCTCATTTGAGGACTTAAAAAAGAGAAAACTATCATCAGCAAATAATAAATGTGATACTCGTGGTGCCCCTCTGCAAACAGCCACTCCATGAATTTTCCCCTTATCCTCGGCCTTACGTAACAAAGCGCTCAGTCCCTCCGCCACAAGGATAAATAAATAAGGTGAAAGAGGATCACCCTGCCTCAGTCCCCTCTGTGGTATTATCGGTCCCAGAAAATCTTTATCAAACTGAACGAAATAGCTAACTGTTGAAACACAAAGCATAACCAAATTCACCCATCTCGTACAAAAACCCATCCGCAACATAATTTCCTTAAGAAAATTCCAGCTAACTCTATCATATGCCTTACTCATGTCCAGTTTAAGAGCCACGTACCCTTCTTTCCCATAGGATTTGCGTTTTAAATAGTGTTGAGTTTCAAAAGCAACAATAATATTATCAACAATAGATCTGCCTGGGATAAAGGCACTTTGACTATCATCCACCAAACCCCCTTGTTGGGTTAAGGGCCCAAGCCGAGGTCCGGCCCACTAACCCATTTTGCCAGACGGACGTCCAGTTAGAACACTAGGCCGCCCCACAGGCCCATGTTCCGTGAGGATGGACGAACGTCTGGGGTTGGGGGTTCAGGCCCAGCGGGTCCTCCCGACGAACGTCAATGTAGGATAAGAAGCAGGGCCGCGGGCCACCAGGGATGACGACGAACGTCCCCATGACAAGCCTATAGTAACCGGTGGAAACCCAGTCCACATGGTGAGTATCTATCAAGGCCAGGAGACGAACAGCCGGTATCTCTTGAAGGTCACTTGGAGCGATCCGACTCACTTCCCGGGCGGACGGACGTCCCCACTGATTAGGCGGGAAACCTAGATTCTGGCGGGAAGTGCATTTA